AATGTAAAAGGCTATTCACAACAAGAAGGAATTGATTATGAAGAAACCTTTACCCGTGTCGCAAGACTCGAGGCGGTTCAAATATTTCTGGCTTATGCAGGTCACAAAGATTTTGATGTTTATCAAATGGACGTGAAATGTGCATTTCATAATGCAGAGCTTGAAGAAACGGTTTATGTGGAACAACCCCCAGGTTTTATTAACGAAGACTTTCCTAATCATGTTTATATTTTAGATAAGGCAGTTTATGGTCTAAAACAAGCACCACGAACATGGTATGCAACACTTACATCATTTTTCAAACAATCTAAAATTAAACAAGGTTCTGTTGATCCCACAGTATTTCGAAAGAAAGTTGGGAATCATCTTATGCTTGTTCAAATTTATGTTGATGATATTATTTTTGGCTCGACTGACCCTGCTTTGTCTAAAGAATTTGAAGACTTGATGAAAAACAAGTTTGAAATGAGCATGATGGGAAAAATCAATAATTTCCTTGGATTGAATATTTGTCAAAACAGAGAAGGGATTTTCATCAATCAGGAAAAATATACGAAAAATCTGCTTGAAAAGTTTGGATTGACGAATAACACAAAGCTTCGTGTACCAATGGCAACGGGCATCAAGTTAACACCATCGTTAGACAAACCTGCTGTTGATATTACGTTGTATAGGAGCATGATAGGTTCGTTACTTTATCTTACAAAAAGTCAACCTGATATTATGTTTTTTGTGTGTAATTGTGCTAGGTATCAGTCTAATCCACGCGAACCACATCTTAGTGCTGTGAAGAATATTTTTCATTATCTTAAAGGCACTATTTCGTTAGGATTGTGTTATCCTTCGAAAATAGGATTCTTCGTTCAAGCATACTCAGATGCAGACTTGGGTGGTTGTAATCTTGATCGAAAAAGCACAAGTGGAGGATGTCAATTACTTGATGACAAATTAGTCAGTTGACAGTCGGAAAAGCAAACATGTGTGTCGATTTCCACGGCTGAAGCAGAATATGTGGCTATTGTTGCATGCACTTCACAAATAATATGGATTCAAAGTCAATTACGTGATTATTCAATTAATATGAAAAAGATTCCATTATATTGTGATTCTCAAAGTGCAATAAGAATTTGTCATAATCTTGTGCACTATTCGTAGACTAAACACATAGCTCTTAGTTATCATTTCATTAGAGATCATGTGGAGGATGGAAATATTGAAGTTCATTTCGTGAAAACAACTGATCAGTTAGCTGATATTTTCACGAAAGCTTTGGATGAAAAGTCTCTAATGCGAATAATAGAAGGTCTTGGAATGATCGATGGAAATTCTGTTTCTTGCGAAAAAGACGAATACTAAGCGAAAAAGAATGAGTCAGAGGTGATAAACAAAGTCATTTAGCATTTAGCGATTACTGTTCATAGTCAACGCTTCGACCACTTCGAATTCGCATGATTGTCACTGATCTTTAGCGTTGCATCAGTGGTTACTGTTCATAGTCAACGCTTCGAACGTTTCGAATTCGTACATTTGTTACTTTTCAAAGAATGTCAAATTTTGTTTGTTTGCAACAAACCAAAAACACAAAAAGATTTTCTTTTATTTTGTCTTTAAATTTTCGAAAAATTAAAAATCCAAAAAGATTTTCTTTTGTTTTGTCTTTAAAATTTTTGAAAAATTAAAAATCCGAAAAGATTTTCATTTTTTATTTTTTTTTCTTAATTTTTGAAAAATTCAAAAACAACAAAAATACTTTTAATTTTTTTTAGAATTTTGTTACAAATTTTGATGATGATTTGGAAGGGAAAAAGCAGGCAGTATTGGGGACAGGTAAATTTTTTAGTATGTATCGCTATCTTTTTCATTATTTGAATTAGTTAGGTTGTCTCGAGAAGCATGCTGCTGCATGTCGACCAAAGCCTCCATGACTCAATGTGTGTGTACGAAAGCCTTAATGAACTTTTTCATACGAAAAATTTCTTCCCAATCAGGCTTATATTCACATTAGTCTCTGAGCTACCTTACTCTTCTCACAATGAGTTAAGAGTTTTCTGTTTGGTCCAAAACATAACAGAGGTACTTTTCGTGTCTTCCACCAATCTTTTTCATCAATACATTCTTACACGATCACACACATAGACGTATGTCCGAGAGGTATCTGATCAAACCCATCGAGACTTAGACATATAAAGATTATGTGTTAATGATCTGACATCATGAGTCCGTGATGAATGTGAAACCCAAACATTTTGAAACTTAAGGGATTGATGGGGGACATTGTTCCAGATATTAACGAAACTTTTGTTTCGGTACCAAAATTCGAAACTCCAAATCATATTCATTTCGAATGCGTGGTCTTGATCAAACATTCGAAACCCAAGATGTTTGTTATCCAACAAGATCCAGAACATAATTTTTTTATGAATATGATTTCAGTGTGAGTTTCATTCGCATATCCTTGTCATGATCATATTTTTCAAAGCAAACTTGTCACTGACTACACTAGTCAAACAAGTAATTTATGTTACAATTTATCACCTTATGTTTAGGTTGACATGTAACGAAATTTTAAACCAACCCAAGAATTACTTTTAAAAGAATCCCTTTGATGCTTATCAAAAAGTAGTCGATTGTACTTCATGGGAACATACACAAGTTGTTGATCATCTCTCTTGATGATTAACGAAGCAACCTTTGCCTAGGGGTTTAACTGCATTCGTGTCAAATTGCATTTTTGACATCACTACATTCCAAAAAATATTTAATTGTTTCTTGTCTAACCTTTCTTTTGCACACTACACATACGAAATCCTTGAGGTTCTAAGTAATACCAACTCAGGCTGATGATTTTGAACATCTGGCATATGACTTCGCTTTTCATCACAAAAGTGAAAGAGCCCTCCCTCCATTCGAAGGGTTCTAATGGTTACTATTCAATAAAGGGGATAGTGACAGGCTGTGTAACCGTGACGTATGGTATTCAACCCGGTTTTCTAGGAGATGTGATAGATGCTTTTTAACACATGGCTAACTTTCCGCAGAACTGGTCCGATTTTCAAGGTGCCACGTTGGATTTCATTAAATGCATCCCGCTTCAAATTCAAATCATCCAGCGTTACATATAAAAGGGGGTTTAAAGTACGTTCTTCATCTTCTTCAAACCCTAACAATGGCGACTACTTCTCATGTTGATGCTTCCACAGAAGATACATCCTCAGTACCAATAATGAAGTTTCAATCTACCAATTATTACGTAAATGGTGAACTTTCGCAGTGTCTGGAGGAATTCAAGATGCTGATTGTTGCGCTAAAACACTCTGTTTTATCAAAAGCAATGTTCAACTCCTTTTCTGTTCCATTATCCTGGCTTTCTCAAGCAGGATCTACAGCTACCTACAATAAAGGCATTGATACGATTACCTTTCTTTTAATCAATGATAAGAAGGTTAGGCTTTCCAAGAAACTATTTTGCCAGATTCTTGATATTCCAAATACACCTCCGTTTCTTGAATTTCAATTCTCTCAAATCATACACATGTTTAATGAAATGGGATATCAACCCCCATTGTCAAAGATAAGTGATTTTAAGAAGTCTGGTCTTCCAAAAATATGGAATTTTTTGTTTGGAATATTTTTGCACTGTTTAACCGGAAGAACAGTTGGCTTAGACAAAGGAAGAATGGAGATATATGCCATGGTGGCTAGTCTGTATTATGATCTTCCTGCTGATTATTCAACACAACTATGGCAGGAGTTCTAGAAAGGGGTAGAACACACGAATGTTGTTCATGGCATTTCGTGTGCTTGGTACTAGAGTCTTATTTTACAACATTTCTACAACAAGGAAGGTATTCTGGTCTCTACTGAAGAAGAAAAGGTTACTTTTTAGTCTTATCATTTTCCAAAGGAGGTTGTTAATGATGATGATGAATTTCCAAGTGTTGCTCGGATTCCCGATGCAATGCTTAAAAGAGTGGATCCTTCAAATCCTGTTTTGCAGGCATATGTAAAAACCTTCGATTCTTCTATTCCTACGGGAATTCTATTACCACACGAAGCCAAGAAGACTAACAAGTCAAAGAAAGATGAGCCAACTTCTCCTGCGAAGAAAGCAAAGGGTTCAACCTCATTTAAAATCCACAAAGCAGAAGCCAGAAGCTGTTGTTGTGACAGTCGAAGCAACAACAATGATTACACCAGTAGTGGAAGAATCACAAGAAAATGTGGTGATTCCTTCGAAAACAGGGATGTTTTGAAGAATAAAGATGAAATCCAAGCACAAACGCAAGTCTTCATCTCAGAAACTGCTTCGTAAACCTCAACTTTCTCACCAAGGAGTAATGTTTCGTGAGGTTCCTGTTTCTCCTCCATCCAAGAAAAGGGCAGCCGAAGATATGGCGAAACATTTATCCCAATCAAAGAAGAAGAAGACGAAGAAGGCTCGAAAGATTGTTTTATCCAGTGAGTCCACTGAAGAGGATGACAGCGTACCAGAAACTCTAGAAGTCACCTCTATTCTTACAAGCTCAATTCCAGAGACCACTGTCATATTCACCCCTGAAGTTTCGATTGCCAAGTCACTTTTTGAGCAGGTACGAACTTCAGGCTTGGGTGAAAATGTTTCGAAGGATGCAGCTCAAGGTCCATTTATCTCTACTCTTTTTGAAACATTCGTTTCTGTTCCACCAACATCAACCATTCTTCCTACTTCAACTACTATATCTCCAACCTTTTAACACATCCTCAATCAACCAATCACTTCCATGTTCTCATCTCAATCAACTGATACCCCCAAACCAACTTCACCCACTGAAACTGATCATGAAGGGTTTGGAGGAACATTTGAAGACTTGGAATTTCAAGATGACGAAGAAGATTTCCCTGATCACATGCTCATGACCATGAAACAATACAAAATTTTGAATCAAAAGTTGAACTACATTATTCAGTCTCAAGCTGATCTTGGAGGAGGTTCATCCATTTCTAGTTTGGAGGTTGATTCAATGTTAAAGATGTGTGAGTCTAGAATAATTGCTAAAGTGTCAGGGATGTTGAAGGCTTCTGAGACTGTGCTTATGGAGAAGGTTGACTATTCACATCAAACAACAAAGCTACGTCTTAAAAATCAAAGATCTGGTTTTCTGGGAGAAGTGAAAGATTTAAGAAGTGTAGCAAAAGAATGACATGTTCTTTTTGTTCAAGATGTTAAGAAGGTTAGAGAAGATGTGAATTCGAAAATTCAAGAGCTTCATGAAGAGATGAACAAAGAAATTATATCTGTTCAACATGATTATGCGTCCTTACATCAGAAGGTCGATATCATATGTGACGCAGTGACAAAATTTGTTAAAATGTATGAAGGTTTGAGTCCACAAATTGCTCAAATCTCCAAATCTGAAGCTGAAAATTTTGAAGGAGTGATGAAGCTGTTGAAAGAGTTGAAGGAGATATCCATAAAACCAGTTTCGTCTCCCTTGATTACTCCTAAATTTTAGTCACAAAAATTTGTTCAGTTCGAAGCCATTCTAAACAAGCAACTTGCTCCACTCTTTCGTATATCTAGTCTTCTTCCCACAACAACTGCCCTCCTGTTAACTCTAACATGTGTTAGAACCGAATATATTTTAATTCAAGTATTCAAATTCATACAACTATAGATTCTTGGGATCTTTGTATGTTGTTGCCGAGGGGTTTAAGTATTCAAATCGAATTTTAAAAGAATTTAAAACACCATCCCAAATTGGGTGTGCTCATATCATTTTTAACGTGCTTATCTCAATCAGATTATGGAATGATCTTCATCAGCATTGCTTTAATATAGAGAATCTCCTAAAAAAGCCACGATTATTTAATTTTATACGATAATTGAAAAAAAACATCAATAATTTGGGTAAAATATAAAATAAACGAGACTTTTTTGTTCAGAAAATAAATGTTGTGATTAAATCGTAAACTGATATAAAATATTGAGACTTTCTCAAAAAATTCCCTTTTAATATATGGATAATTGATATATTAATAACAGTTTAATGAAATTGTGATTATGCTTACTTATTTGCTCAATTGTTTTTTAAAATTATAATATTTTAGAAAACATTATAGGAATTTGATAAAAATAAAAATTGGTTTTATAAAAGTGGTATAATAGGAAGTTGATAAAACTAAAAATTTCCGAATATAAAAAATTAATTAGCTAAATTTAATATTTTGACAGATTATAAAGAATAACATGATATTTTTAAATTAAATTGAATATAATATTATGATGTTTAAAATCCCTGTTAATATTAACATAAAAACCAATGTTTTAAAAAACATTATAGTCGGTTTTGAATAACTACATGTTCATTTAAGTTTTTATTTAAGTCAAAACCACAGATTATATTTTCAAAAGTTCTAAATTAATTATCACTTATGGTTCTATCGTAAGCAAAAAAATACTATCAAACATTTAGTTAGTTAATTAGGAAAGAACCCCGACTTTGCGGGTTGAGATACACCAAAGAAATTTAGAAAAAACAGAATGTACATTGTAAAGAACCTCATATAAAAAGCTGACTCCAAGTGATAACCTGTCCAATAAATAGCAATGTTTTTCATGTATATTTAAAACTGAAAGTACAATGCTACACTTGGGCATGTTTTTCAACCTATAAGATAGTAATAGGAAACAAATTGAAATTTACTTAAAAGGAAAATTGGAGGTAAGATATGTTGGTAAATAAATAAACTTTTACCTCCATTTAACAAAAGAAACAACAACATGTGGTTTTTTGGGTAATTTCAAAGTACCAAATCCAAATCAACCAAATCATGAGGGTGGCAATAAACAGGTAGAAATAAAATGACTAATATTTATAATTTTGAATAAACACATACTATTTAACTATGAACATCAATTCATACAAAAAAAAAAACATATATCTGTTAAATGTATTTACATAAATGATCCTTGTTAAAGTAAGTGTGTTAGTTTATATTGGCAAATATATTTCATTAACAAACAGTAATGAAACGTCAATGGTTTGTTTCATACAAAAAATTTACTATTTCTATTAAATGTATTTCCATAAATGATTCTTGTTAAAGTAATTGTGTCAGTTTTTATTGGCAACAATATTTCATTAACAAACATTAATGAAACCACAATTATTTTTCAATGAAATGTACTCGAAATATTCTCGACCTTCTTCTTACATGTGCCAACCTGAAACACATATTTTAAAAATTAAGTTGCTAACATTGTTTACAGTAAGTTGAAACTGCAATTGATGGGCATATTATTTTTTCATTAAAATATTCATATGTGAGGCAATGTATTCTAATACAAAAAAGTAGGACGTTAATCAGTAAATTTTGTCATATAATATGTTTTTTAGAAGTTTAAGTAAAGATGTAATTTCTTGCCTATATTAGGAATGCATAAGTTTAAAAATTTGCCTCTTTAAAAACAGTTACTAACGAAAACATATAAATAAGTAATAATGTACTTTAATCCCTTTATACTCAAAGAATCCATGTTAATAAAATAGACATTTTCTAATTAACTCAAATAGAGTAAAATAAAAAATAAAGAGATAGTAAGTACCAAGAGTTTACTTTATTTATGTAACTTTGTTATAGGGGTCATTTCTTTAGCTTGAACAGGCTTAAACTATAGCATCCAATGTTACCTTTATTTTATCTCCTGGTTCACAAAACAATATCATTATTCAAATAACTTCATATCTTCATAATATTAAATGAAAAAAGTAAAAATTACTAAAAACCATATGTAAAAAGAGAACAATTGCCTGTTGTCTACTAATTTCCCACATTTAACCAAATGTCAATCAACACCAACAACTTGATGAGAGCGAGATAACCTCAAATCCTTGAGAGATTAGAACTTTAATCTGTAGTTAGGGTTTGACAAACCATAATGAGTATTTAAGATGTATATGTTATAAGTTTAAGAAACAAAGTGGAAGCCAATGGAATGAAGCAAACCTTAAAACGGGTGCCAATGAATATGCAACCAAAATGATGAAAACTAAAATAAACCCAAAAGTTATATAGTTGTAAAATTGCATAAAGTCGAAGTAGGATGATCAATTGGTAGATTTTCAAAGTAAATGGTTCAAAGTGATATAAGTAGGATGATGTGATTGGTAAATTTTTAAAGTGAATTGCGGTAAAAAGAACTGAAACAAAAGTAGGATGTTGTTTTTGGAATATTTTCAAAAAATAGTGGTAGTTTATATGTAGTAGACAATAAAATTATAAAATATCTTTGTTCTATTGCAATCACGTTCATTATACCCTTTGTTGGAGTTAAAGTACCAGTAACATCGTAAGTTAGAAAAATGAGTGTAAACATAACTGGGCAAAGAAAATATCAAAGGAGCGCCCATAATAACTCTAGAACTCATCTCTACCTTCAGGTGAAATAAGTTGAGGTCATCATCTTTCAACTATTGGTTGAGGAATTACCGCTAATGAACTTAATTTGTGAGGCCCTCATCATAAAATTAGTTTAGATCTAAAGCTAAAGCAGGGATACTAACGACTTCTAATAAAAGGGCAATGAATGATAAAACTAAAGCATGGATACTAACAACTTCTTCACTTAATCCTTTTCTGCACATCGTCTCTTAGCAAACACCTTACCCTTAATTCCTAAAAACTCGAACAACCATAAAAGAAGGAAATGTTTTTAGTATTCAATGGCTTCCAATTCAGATTTGAGCAATAACATCAAATTTTCTAATAGAAGCCCCAACATTCTTCAAGTGATACCAACATGAAAATGGGTAGAGAAACAAAATGATTGATAAAGAGGCACAACCTTTAGAGAAATTTGGGAGCACTTGTGAACTTCACGGGCTTCCTTCTTCCACTTCCTATCAAAGTGATCATGGCGATGACCACTTCTCTTCCTCCGAAGCTCTATGTAATTCCCTTGAGACTATTAAGAGCAAAAGAAAAAGGTTATGAACTCATAGATATTACCAAAATAATAGCTACAATTATTTTTAAGATTCAAATAGTAATGGAACTTGCATAAAAGAATTTCATTGATAAAGAATGCATGAGAATCCATCCCATATGTTGTTAAATGCAAATTTGGTCTTTTCAATGCAGAATCGTAATACAACTAACCATATTAAATCGGTCGATAAAGAAGATTCAAGTGTCAGTGTTGTGTGGGCTTCCCCACCACTCCGAATTTTGGAGATAGATGTCGAAGAACAAACAACATGGTGAGTTCTTCGACGGTTCACAACAAAACTAGAAGCTCTCCCATTCCAAATCATAGTCTTTTTTTTTTTTTTTTTTTTTTTTTTTGTTTTTGTTTTTTTTGTTTCTGAATTCGTAGGAACCTAATGATATTGCAACAATTTCTAAATCAAACACCAAAAAAAATTGTAGAAATGGTGAAACTGGAAGTCAAAATCAAACCCAAATTGAAAGAAAATCACACCTGTATGGATGAAATTGAAAAGCAATTAGGATTTATGGACTTGGTGTTGGTGATTTTAGTGTTACCATATCATTTTAAGTAACTGGAACTAACATGTGAGCTAATGGGCTTCATAATTTGTACTCTAATATATGTACGGGGTTGTGCCGAGTGCATACATGTATATGATCGAATTAGAAGTCGGTTCGACGACTAGTCGGGGGTCTGGGGGCACCGCCCCTGGGTTTCGGGTTTCTAAACGGGTAGTGCTCCTTTGGCAGTGTCTAGGGGCAATGCCCCCAGCGGGGTCCAAGGGGCAAAGCCCCTGGTTGGGGTCCCGCTGATGGTTATTATGGTAAAACTAACGAAACTCGTTAGTTTCGGTTACCCTAAATCCTCACTAAATTCGGATTAACATTACTTGCTTCCAAAGCAACTAATGGCGGCCCAACCCTAGTGAAACCCTAATCTCGTTTAATATATAAATAATTCTTCCTCTTCAGAAGAGGGTTACGATCTTAAGCACTTGTTTTTTCATCATACTTTCACAAAATCCTCTAGCATATTGGCTTACATTTTCTGTGCCTAGAAACGTAAGTCCCCACTTGGATTATCTTAGGCTGAATTTATTGTAGCCCAGGCATAGGGTAGAAATATCAGTTTGGAAAGTGCTATCACGATCCAACTAGGTTTCCAGATATCCACCACAAACCCTACCTTTCCCAACAATCAAATTGATATTCTTCTATTTCTGGAGATAGGTGACTCAATCCGCGAGATAACCGCTAAGTTTGCAAAGCTAGAGAAGTATGAAGGTGTCGACTTCAGGCGTTGGAATAAAAAGATGCACTTCATGCTGACCACTCTAAAAGCAGCATACATGCTGACTACTCCAAGACCTGTAGAGCCTGCGGAAGGTGTTGTTGAGATGGCTAAATATAAAAGAAAGAGACAGAAGTGGGACAATGATGACTACATCTGCAAAGGTCAAATTCTGAATGGTATGTCTGATGCTTTAATTGATATCCATAGTGAAGCCTTGTGTGCCAAGGA